AAAAAAAAAAAAAATAGACAGATATTGTTCAACTAGTATTACATTATTATTTATACGAGTTTTAGTCTGTATGATCTCTAAAGAAAAAGAAGTGAAATATTAAATTAACTAACAAGTCATCTATAAGAATTTATTTAAAAAAATGAAATTTTAGAGATTCGAAAGATAAAGAGAGATTAATTAATTAATTTCCTAATATCGTGACACACTGGGTCAATCTCTGGGAATCTTAAGAGTTCTATCGATTGCAGGGTTCGTAGATTCAGCAACTCGGCTTGCTTATCGATTGTTCTCGGACACTGAGCGATTTCTGCGACACTATATGAACTAGTAGACCCACCCACGTTCGGCAGAAGTCTCGAGTTTCAGCCGATCTCAAGTATGTCGAAAAAAAAAGAAAAAGAAAACGAAAAAGGATCGTTAGAGATGCAGCAGCGTCTGCCTCGTCTCGACAATGTTATATGCAAATTTTCTACCTTCTGTCTGCGCCGACTGGAACATGAATCATGCTAACGTCTCCAGTTGCAAACCGGAAATACACCCGACGCCGCGTTCGAATGAAACATGTGCGCTTCTCTTCTAGGTTTCTTGCTCTTCTCTAGTTAGTATATTACCACCAGCTGACTAACAAACGTTCCTGAAATATCGACTGCGTGGGTAGAAAGTAATTTTTGATGATATAGATTCATGTCGAATATTAAATATTATATCGAAACTATCGCTAGATAAAACGAAACTAACTATTTACTACTGTACGTAATTAAATATTACATCGGACAGTAGTATTATCTCTCGTGAGACACGAGTTTGACGACGTGGTTTACATTGCTTGGCGGGATTTCAATCTCCTTTGAAGCTTGTAAATTTCATTCTGTAAATTTTATTGATTACCGTTGGATTTTTATAGCAGCACAATTAGCAACTTTATGAACATTCGAAAATCTCAGCTTCATCGTCTTGGTTAGCTCAGCTTGTAACAATAAATCGCGGCGGAACTTCTTTGCCTCGCTGAAAACCTCGGGTCTCAAATTGACCTCGAGCCTTGAATCTTGCAATGAATCGATTCGCAAGTAGATCGTCCGCCGTCTGTCTACAATTCTCGAAAATATTCGATTCGCGGTGCTTTGCACAAAAAAAAAAAAGAAAAAGAAAAGAAGCGAATAAGCTACGCGACGAAACGAGTCGATCGCTTGGAAACTGCCTTTCCTATCCGATATTGCGGTTTACAACTCACGGCAGCGTAAAGTAAGTACCGTTGCTTGCCTGATTATTTCCAAATTTTATTCCTCCTTTTTTATTCTTCACGCATACAATCACGTAAGGCCGCTTGAATTTTCGATCAGCCATGTAAAAACGTACGGTTGCTCCATCCAGTTGATCCAAGCTTTTGATCATCATCAAGCGTCATCGCGCAATCGTCCATTTCAATCAGTGAGAAACGATTGACGAAGGTATCGTCTTGTTAGCCGAAATGCATAGGAAGTACGTAGAGGTTTGAGCAAGTAGCACGGCGTCTCATTTGTCTCATCCTTTTATTATTCTTACGATGCTACAATTGTTAGAAAAATTAGGTACTGTAAGTTGCAAACTTTTTAATCAACTATTATTATACGTATTAATACATTGATATCAGTGGCCATATATTGTATCCAATAATGCCATTTTGAACGACATTTTTAGTATTTTTAACAATATAAAATACATTTATATTTTAATCATTTATCGTAGGAATTTTATTTGATTACTGTTCGTTTCTGGATAATGACCTTTTAACAACTCTCTTTTTTTTTTGCTACTTCTTTTGCTTCTCACATGACGAATGTTAAAAAATAACAAATAATAATAATGGTACTCATGATTCTTTTGAACGCAATTATTATTAGCCTCGACGTTAACGAAACTGAAAATCCCAACGTGCAGCATGAAATACGTCACGATTGAAATATAGCATGGGAAAATTTTTCGGTTACATACGTTGCGAGACAGAAACTCGAAGTCAAAGGCAAAAGATTAATCATCTTAATTGTCCAATAATCTTTAAATTAACGATTACATTCCAACTTTAGTTGTTAATCATAAATATCAATTTTTACTTTAGTCGCGATAAATGCTTTCTGATCGTTAATTACGATTGAAGATTAAATTAATAATTAAATTCCTTTCAATTTTAATGGTCGGTATACCTCATTAACTACTGAAATACTTTCTGTAGTGAAATTAGCGTTTTCTTGTTCGCGACTAGACAGTCGAGACACTTTTCAATAATGTACAGAGAGATAATAGAGCTTCTGCAAATGTGAACAGTGAAACAATGTCTAATGCTACGAAATGAAATTTGTTTTTTTTTTCTATTATTTACTTTGGGATTTTGAGTTTAACAAATTTTGAAGGGGTTCAAGATACAAGTTAATCAAGTCTATAGCTAAATATACGAGTCGTCTTATATCTATCAAATATGTTTCATTTCAATATCAAAGCATATCTTCAATTTATTATTTTATCTTCGAATTATTGTTAATTCAAATTATAAATAAATTATTACTTTCAAATTATAATTAAATTCGACATAATAGCTGACAATTGGCAATTGACGTTTAGCGCCATTAATCGATAAAATCAATCTCTGATTGGTTTCCTTCAATCAACGATTGACGATTAATTTTACTTATCGATTAGATCAATCGCCGATTTTTTTTCGACGATTAAATTTATTAACTGTGGGTATCAACGTCTACGATTAAATCAAATATTTATCAATCGATCGAACCAAAAAAACTTCGATCGATTAATATGCTCGGAACTCTGCTTTGAAATCAGCGAATTTCTTCCAATTCTCTCTGCAAGTACGAGTCTTGAAAATCGAAGATACATGTGACAACGAGGGACCGGATGGCCGGCTAGCTTTTCATCTCGTGATGGTAACAGCGTCTTATTTTCGTAGCGGGGATAAACTTGTCCGTTTCGATGCGACGGTGGAACGATGAAATACGACGTGGCCCGTTCGCTAAATCTCGTGGGTCGCGCGTTCAACGACGCGTAACGAACCGGTCTCACGCGATCTCGCGCCGTTCGCAATTATAATCGCGACGACGAGGCGGATCTCGGATGGTCACCTGGCCATTTTTATTGTCCACCACAAGGTGCGTGGAAGTCGCGTGCAGCCTGCGACGAGAGAGAGCCGAGAACACTTCTTTCGAACAATATTTTCGCGGAATAACTGACGATCGATGACACGTGGACTCGGGCAACATGTTTTACATGTTATAGTTTTAAATTGCAGTACAGGTTTGCTTTTCCCTTGATCCTTTCGGGGCAAATTTTTCCCGCAACTCAGTAAATTAATTAACGAGATAGATGCAGCAGTGATGAGCACAACTGTATCAACGAAACATTGCCGATAATTTTGAATTCGAAATAATGTAATGAGAGTACATGGAAAGTTGTATAAATTCAAACTCGTGTAGAAACATTAGACAATTCTTTTCCAGGACTAGATCCAATATGGTTTTGAAGATTTT